GTCCCTGAGCAATCGGAGTTTGCATGTATTCTCGACAATTGTACCAAGAGCTCTGTTTTCTCTTTGTAACAATTTAAATTGTTGCGTTGGTGCATAGCTATCAACGAGGTTTAGTGTTATTGGGAATGTATTGTAAATAAGACACAACATGGCGATTTCTTAATCTCAAAGCCTTAGAATAGAACATTGAAAGTAAATCATTGGTTTACAAGGAAAGTTTAAAATTAAGTTTCCAGGTGTGATTTCAGTGATGTTCCTAGTAAATTAACTATTATTGACGTATACAAATTTAAGGAAAACGAATCCAAATCAAAGTAATACTTAAATCTCTAGATTTAAGTGAAATTAAATCAGGCAAATAGAAATTCGCTTAGTCTGTAGGTTTGCTGCGAGGGAGTGATTTTTGTTTACTATATATTCGGTTTTCCTTAACTTTTACATGTCAATAACAGTAAAGATTTAAGGAAACCGGATCCGTAGTAAACAAAGAATACCCCATCGCAGTAAACCTGCAGACTAAGGTCTTCAAATTGGGGAAACCCCATGTTGTAGTATTTAAGATAAATTCCCAACAACACTAAACTTCATGGATAACTATCACCTGATTGGCAATGAATAAGTAGTAAATAACGCAGGAATGTCAAAATATAAGGTTGTTTTGTCATTAAAATGTGCCTCACAGTGCTTTTAATTTGCGTTGTGTGTTAAAACACTCTGTATAATATCGTGTGTGGGTCTCAATGACTCAGGGTCCGGTAAGTAAAGCGAAGCTTGAGCTTATTTCAGTTGGTTCCATAGAAATGTGCAAAAATCGTTTTAAAAAAGAAAGTGTTTACCGTTGTCAAAGTGAAAAAACGACAAATGTTTTTCGTATTTGTTAACTATAACAGTCCATTATTATTAACGAACATGTAACGATAAAAATAATACATTTTTTTACATATATCTTAAGCTTTTTGAATGAAGTTAAACCCTTGGTAAAATTGACGCTTCTGGGATGAGATATTTCAAAAATATTAAAACACGTGTTTCAAACATCAAATACAAGACCATTGTCTCCTTGAAAGGGACCATTGTCTCCTTGAAGGGACGTCGTAACAGATACCTTTGATGTTAACTTTGGAACTTCCCTTTAGATTAAACGGAACCGTTAATTATGTCTTGGCTTCATGACTACACTTTGTCACACACCTTTGTAGTACAGTTAACATTGTCTCTACCGAAGTGAGTAAATTTTTGCAGCATAGTAAACCATTCTTTTCTATTCAACATGTCAGTAAACTACAATGCTGTTTAGTTATTATTTAATTTAGGCCTCTTAAAAGATTTCATGTTTAAATGCATAAATTAAAACATTGTGGCTTATTTATAGAGTGTTATTATTATTTTACTTCTTGCCAAAGAAATTCCTTGAACCGTTATATAGGTGGAAACATATTTTAATTGACAAATTCACAATGAGTAGGTTTTTAACTGTATCCATGTTTTTGTAGAAGTTTTACGCCCAACTGATAATTATATACAATTTTATTTACTTAGATAAGGATGTTTTTGATTTATACATTATGATATTACTGCAGCAAAATGAGACCTATATTAAACCTAACTGTAAATAATGAAGTTAAAAGTGGTGAACGATACGGTTAGAATAGCGATGACCCTTTGTCCGGTGTCGTGATAATGGAATTGTTTTGTTCTCGTGAAGTTATGGTAAAGAGAATGTTGAACTGGGAATGTAATACATTAATGCAGGACTGCAGGGTTTTATTACTTTACGTGGATTACCATGCGGGATATACGTGAAATTTTACAGTTATACTTATTTCACCAGGCAAAGATTTAAGAAATGCACAGACAAGTCGAATTAGTACATCAAGGACACTTTTGTAACTACCAACTAAAAAGATATTACTATTCAAATTAAATAGTTTAAAAAGATTTCTTGTAAGATGGGCAAATCTGGTCTAGAGAGATGAATGTAAACTGAGATGTATGTTTCAAATTCCATTTAAATTTATTTTAATTCAAATAAATAGTTTTAATTACGTATGTTTCACATGACTATTGAGAATTTTTGTTTAACTAAACATGAACTTGTTAGACTTAATATTTAAATGAAAATAGTATAAATCCTTAGAAAGATTGAAAATATACTTATACATTTTATTTTGTTGCTCACTATTTGCATAGGTTTCTTGGAACAGAGCAAGATTAACCCAATCACTAGGAGAAAGTTTGAAGCAGGTAATACTTACTTAGAATAGATAGATTGAGAAATTGTATTAGTGTGTCACGTGGTGTTTACTATGGAAAATACAAATGCTGACGTTTGTTTCCAGTATTTTGAGTGTTATCTTCTAAAAATTATATCCGAGTAATATCGTAAAATATCTGTTTGAAAAGGGTTCCTGTTTAATAAACAGGGAATATTCAAGTACGTGGTACAAGTGATAATTAAAGTTTATTTACGTTTTATTCTTTGTAAAAATATGTAACAGCTCATCTTCTCTCTTATGCTGCAAACAATCTTTTTACCACAACCATGAAGTGTTTTAAACAACAACAACAACATAACAAGGTAATATTAAACAAGGTGATATTTTAAACACTTTCATGCATATACTATTCTATTCAATTATTTATCACAAAATGTTTGAAATGGATAACAAATACAGCTCAGTATAATGTATTTCCGCCCACAAAAATAACCAAGATTATTAAAAACTCCTCAAAAATACATTACATTTTACCCCTCGAACTATTTCAAATATCGTTTGCACACTAGCACACCTGGCACAGTGTAACAGCTGATATTGCTGAAATGCTGGTATCCACTGCAAACTGGTACACGATCTATCTTTGCTACTATACAAATCCAATAACCAAACACTAGTGATTATACTAGGCTATGTCACCTTGCAGCTTGCATAGAGTAGCAAGTGCTACTGCCGCAGTGGGTTTATACAAACTATCAAGTAACAACATATAACACCGGCACTGTAAAAGAACAACAACCCTACATGAGTCCAACGATGTAAATAACTTGAGTCTAATGTAGCAGGTGCTACTGCCGCAATGTTGTTATACAAACTAAAAGGGAACACCATATAACAACGACTTTGTACAAGAACAACAATCCTACATGAGTTTACCCTCTATGTTATGTAAGGCAATGTAGCAGGTGCTACTGCCACAATGTTGTTATACAAACTATAAAGTAACAACATATAACAACAACACTGTACAAAAACAACAAACTTACATGAGTCTACCCTATATGTTATGTAAGACAATGTAGCAGTTGTTACTTCCGCAATGTTGTTACACAAACTATAAAGTAACAACATATAACGCTGACACTGTACAAGAACAACAACCCTACATGAGTCTACCCTTTATGTTATGTAAGACAATGTAGCAGGTGCTACTGTCGCAATTTTGTTATAGCCTACAAACTATAAAGTAACAACATATGACATCGACACTGTACAAGAACAACAACCCTACATGGTTCTACCCTCTATGTTATGTAAGGCAATGTAGCAGGACTGCTACTGCCGCAATGTTGTTATACAAACTATAAAGTAACAACATGTAACGCCTACACTGTACAAGAACAACAATCCTACATGAGTCTACCCTCTATGTTATGTAAGACAATGTAGCAGTTGTTACTTCCGCAATGCAGGTATGCAGTCATGACGATATAACAGTTGTATACAACACAAACCCCTACAGTAGACATAAGGGCTAAGCGTGATTCAAAGCATGGTCGGTAAAAGCAATGATTTCTATTAATTTCATGACTGAGATATATAGAGAGGTTGGATCTAGGTTGCAACATGAATGTTTTATTAGTGGTGTCAACTCCTGCACATTGCTTCCTACTTTAATACGTTCTGTATGGTTTAAAGGAGCAATGAAAATTCGGTTTAGTGTTAAGATACGATAGACTTAAACTTAAATTGAGATTTTGATCGGTTGCAAGTAAAACAGTGTAGGATGATACTTAATTTTTTGTTTCTTCAATCATTTGTCTGTTCTGTTTCCACTGTTTATCAATTTGCGGATCAATCTTGTTTTATTTAAGTTTTATAAAAATATTAAAGAAAGGACCAAATTTCCAAATCATAAATGTCGTAAACATGTGCTTGTTGTGTTGTTAATGAAGAAAAATAGTCATATAAAAACGTAATTGTTCAAGAACTTGCATTCGCATCTAAAGGTTGATGGTTTGAAACCCAAGACAGTGTCTATGGAAATAACATTTATTTGTTAACTGGCTATCAATGATTTTCCCTTTTAACAGCATGTTTACGTTAGGCAGGAACAATACTAGGATTTTCATGGCTCTCTTACAGAAAAAAAACGTTAATATCCAACTGTGTAAAACACAAAAAATGGAAGTAACTCCGTGTTTCCATCTCATAATGCCACAAGATTGTCGGAAATTTAATTTATTTCAAACTGCCGTCGAAGCAAATGGAGATAGTATATTTATATGCTAGATGTACTTGATGCTTTATGTACTTTAATCTTCATCCCGTATTATGGGACTGAAAATATAGCACAGTTCACATACTTGCATTATGCTTGATAAAACAAACTGGTAGGCTATACTGTATGTTTTTAAAACATTTTAAGGCCACGTGTGATTGTGAATTTTACCTATGATAATATTAAGTTTGTTCATATCATTGACACGGACATAATATTGACATGTAAATTCGACTGAAAAGTATGGTGATTTAACTGGTCAAAATAACTCTATACGTCATGTTCATGAAATATATTTACTCGTAATTAAAAGACCAGTAAGATGTGCAAGAAAACACAAGCACGTGGCATAAACCTAAATACAAATGTGAAAATATGTTGTAATATTATGTTAAAATAAAATACATTCAATAATAAAACGCATTTTACCTTTCAATTGAATCGGCTACCTTTAAGTATCATTCAACAGTTCATCATAAATATCATTTTTGAATCTTACCAACCTTATGTTAATCATTGTCATCCCTCAGTGCAGCATTGTGTGAACGACGATGAAATCCATAAGGCAAGACAAACACTACCGGAACCGGAAATCGAGGAGGCTTTGTATCGAACACAGCACGTTGAACTCACCGCAGAATACGGACGTTGAACATACGACGTCACGGCGCGGACGTCAGAGACGCACTGTTGTTGGGACGCAACCCCCACCCCCAATAAACCCCCCTATAAACCCCCTCCTGGACAGTCATATTGAACCTCCATGCCGACAGTATGGCCAAAGATCCGCCAATCCTCTAATCCTCTGTGCTATACGCAGATAAATACACGCTTTCCAATCAAACCTTTCGGAAAATATTTATACTTTTGGATATTTTAGATCTGAAAACATGTATAGAATTGATTACAATTGTATAAGATTTACTGTAAATTTTATAAAACACGAGTGAAAATGGGTGGAGAGTGTTGAATAAGTTATTTACTAATATTTACTATACTTTATTATATTACTTCTCTGTAGGTTAGGTTAGGTTACTATGTTTATTGGTTCGGTTCTGAGTAAGGGTTTTGTTTTAGTTACCAGAAGATTTTATGTAACTAGAATTTATTGCTTTGTAATTTTTACTATAGGCTATATTTATTGAAACTGAATTGATAACATATCACTTACGTATACAATGTTATTGCAGTTCATATTGTACTGAAGGAAAACATGAGGTAGAACATGTTTGTATTCACTTTTCTATTTTGGTAGTGATTTGATTTACAGGAGTTTTTGTTTGTTTGAAATTATTTAGATTGCTCTGACTGATGGGTTGTAACAAGGTGATTCAAGCACTAAGATCAGCGTTAGATGGTAACAAGACCAGGGTTATGACCGTTGTCTAAAACACTGAAAAGGGCGGATATACTTAAAGATTCTTGGAACGCTCTAATATCTATTATGTTTTAAAAATAAACGGTATCAGCAATCTGACACATACTTTCTCGTATTATCTTGTGAACAACCTTTATCATAGGTAAGCAGTGGGAGAAACTATGATATTTTATAGGGAAATGTCAAAAGTTGAAATAATTTTTGAACCTCAATTGATTCAGCAATGGGGAGTAGAACTTTTAAAAAAAATCTGATTTATCGTTTTTATGGGGTTTTTTTAGGAAAATAACATAGGCTACAATAACTTTTGAACCGTATTTTTTTGGGAATATTGGATTTGTACCTGTTTGTTCAAAATTTAAAGGACTATTACATACTCAAATTTCATCAAAATCGTATGGGCCATTTTCGAGAAAATCTAATTTTTCCGTTATTTTATGGAAAATTCTCCATTAAAAATCAAAATTTTAAAAAAACTAGAGATACTATGGATTAGTGCATACATACCAAATTAAATCAAAATCGTCGATTAATTATTTACACAGTTCAGCATGATAAATAAACGTATTGGTTAGCTAATAAGTCTATACGTGAAAAACTATGCCAATACTGCTATTGCGAAACAATCCCTTTTGCTAGTTTTATTACGTCTTACCTTGTTATATGGGGTCTCGCTGAAAAATCCATATACGAAGTTATATCATCGCTTTAAACCAGGATCAAACAAACGTTACACGTATGTACCACAATATTGAAAAGAAATTATTTAAAGTAGACCAAGTGAAAAATAAATCATTTTTAGTAGGCTTTTTTCGTGAACACCGAAATTAGAACAATAAATAATAAACTAGTGATAGTGGTTTAAATACCTTATTCTTGCAATCCGATTGTTGTCTTCACAACTAGTTTCGACCTGCTAGGAGGTCATGATCAAGTGTGTACAAGGATGATATTACACACCTGATGATGACCACCTAGCATGTCGAAACTAGTTGTGAAGACAACAATCGGATTGCAAGAATATTTTTAAACCACTATCACTAGTTATTATTCGCAATCCGGAGGCTACTCACACCACAATGAAAATAATAAACATTCTAATAATTCATTAATTAATAATATTAAATAATTTTATTGGTTTTTTACATTCAATTTTCTCATGCTAAATTTAGAGAAGGTGGATTAAAAAAATAAGATTATAGTTTTTTAGACATAAAAGCTGATTTCGTCTATTCGTTTGTAAGCTGTTTATATCTTTTTTGTAAATTTTGTCTTTGAATAAAGTGATTCTGTGTTAAGGATTTATTTAACTTGTCATCTTTCACTGAATGTTAATATAAATGTTATTTTAATACGGTTAATGTTTAGATTAATGCAAACTCGTAGAATTTAATAATGACGCAATCAAATCTGTTTACATTGTTTAGCTCATTATTACCCTGTGCATATAACGGTATATTCAAATTAAACAGTCTATATTTGTACTTTGTAGCTATTGAACTATCGGTGTTTCATCAAAAAAGTAGTATTCTTAATTAAATTAACCCATACTAAACTACGTAAACTACATTTACTTGATATTAAATCTGACTGAAATATAAGTGTTATATCGATTCAGTGAACTATTTAAACACACTCCGCGTATATTTATACATGCTTTAACCTTTTTCACCTCCTAATAACGGCTATATATTCAACATACACTCTGTATCTTTAAATGCTGTACAAATTATAAAGATACAGTGATAATAAATTTACATGGTTAAATGGTTTAAAAGGTTTAATGGTACAATACACGTAATATGCTTAGCATGTTTTGCTATACCTGTTTCTACGAACTTTATACGCTTATTTTCTAAAGATATAAAAATATTTTAAATTATCAGCTATCATTTCTAATTTTTGAGTTGGTAAAATCCATAAAACAAAAAATAAAGTCAAAATTTGTATGGAAAACACATTATAAATGAAATTTTAATGTTGCAAAAATAAAGAATGATTTGTTTTAATCTATACTCTACACATAGATAAAAGGATTTCAAATAAAAGTTCTACTAGCTAAAAATATATTTCCAGACTACGAAAAGCCTTTTTCCATTACCTTGTTACAAAAGCAAGCACCAAGATAATAGTTAAGTAATGTGCTTGGTGTAAGCTGAACTCCTTGTAGAAAACACTCTTCTGGAATGTAAAGCATCATTTCCTAGAGGATATAACTTACTTTGAAAACGGAGGTTGGCTCTTTCTCCACTGTTGTTTTATCAAATGTTAAATTATACTGGAGGAAATGCAGACAGGTTTTGAAATTTAATTAAAGTGGGTTCAAAAAGTTGGAACCAAAGTTTTCCTGAAGTGCTTTAATTAAAATGCCTGATTGTCTTGAATTGTTTTAGCCTCTCAACAATATTGGTGGTGACAATTTTCTAATTAGAGATACGGTAAAATAGTTTTTCCCCTTATTCATTTAATCACATTGACATAATGTGTTTAAACAAAAATGTTATTTTCTTGAATGATGTCAAGACAATGCATCTAGTACTAAAAAGCGTACCCAGCAAAATATCCTAGCGGAGATTAGCAGAACTAGTTCAGTACCTCTATGCGGTGGCGTTCCTAGCGGCAATGGCTGGAAACTCGTGTTGTAAGTGCTGCGCGCGCACGCGTGCATCCCCGCTCCGCTGCCGACACTCCAGCCAGGTCGCGGTCCTCTTTGATCTCCCTACCGTCCGACTCACCGGCGCCGCCGCATGGTCACAGAATATATGGCATGGTTCGCCTCCATAGGCCCTGCGCGGTGATCGATCCCTTCACAATATTCTCTAGGCAAACGCGTGGTCGTTTTTATATATCATATTAATTATATATAAATTAATGTATTTATTATATGCATTATTATTATCAAGTACACAGATTTATGCTATATTCGAACCTTCGTAAAAATAGATCCAGCTGTCATTACTGCTATAAATATGGCCGTTACAAATGCTGGTAGATTGGTCATGTACAGCAACAAAAAGCTGTAATAAACATTGAGAACTGTCAAAGTAGGATTGTTTTGAGTTATGTTTATGTTTTAATAAGAAATATGTGATTTTGTGCATGTAGAAATTTGTGTAGAAATGTATGGGGTAGAAATTGGTTTTTCCCATTTTGACTAAAAAAAACATATGATTTAGCAATTTGTTTCCAAACCATTTTGTAGAGCTTAAAAACCCAAATAATTTTGTCTATTGAAGTGTTATTATTTATCTAATGGTTACGGAGAAATAGTTATTTGTGCAACTAGTGAGCAAAGGGAGCAATTGACTCACTCGAGGAAATACTTAGGCCTAATGAGGAATGGTTTCCCGAGTGAGGCAATTTCACTTTGCACTCGAGTTGTAGGCCTACATTACATTTTTCCTACAGTTACCATAAAACAAATACATTGGTAAAGAAACGTGACATATTTTAACACAGAAGTGAACTTTTAATATGACATTTAAAAACATAAACTTAGAAGATAAAACTACAACATTATACAACAGATTATACAACAATACAACAGCTGTTTATGAACACTAATTAAATTGATAAAATACATACACCTACATTTCTTACTTAACTGCAGTATTTAAACTTTACAATAAAAAAAAACTTTTTTACCCTCCCTGTTGCAGCAGACCTAAGTTATCGTTAAACTAATTATATTTGAATAGGTAATAAATATGTTATATTTGTAAGGTGACATTTTAGTGTAAATCCAATCAGTCAATTGGAAATTCGTTTAGTCTGCAGGTTTGCTGCTTTGGGGGTGTTTCTATGGTTTAAACGCAAAGAACTAGAAACTGCAATACGCATTTGATACGTATACGCCTATCCCGTACGAAGGACCTTTGCAATACCTCTATATATTTTAATATCTTTATATATTTTAACAGTGCAGTGACTAAAAAGGTGCGTTTTATAATATATATCGTTTGGGCGTTGACTGTATATAGTTGACAAGTTAACGGTATGGGCTACGTCGGCTTCTGCCAACAGTGGGGGTTGGGTTGGGGGAAGCTAGACCAAGGACACTTCGCCCGCCCCGCAGTGCCACTGACTGTGAGCGCAATCCAGTACTCCAGTAGTTCTTTAGTTCTTTGTTCTTTACATCACTTCGGTTTGTTTGCTGAGTTGAGACTGTCGAAAGTTAGTTGATTGTTGCTTTGTTCGTTTATGGTTAGCTGCAGAAGTGAGTGGCACTTGTCCGCCAGGTGAAATTTTCTTTGTAAGAGACAGTGCATTG